GTTGCCCCAAGACCCCAATTGAAAGGGCATCTTCGGAGGGCATGTTTTTTGGTGTGCCGGTTTTGTGTGGTTCCACAACATGGTATTCCCTCTTTTCGGGAAAGCCACACATTTCAGCAGGGTTCTTGCATTGGCCCCCAACAAGGCCGTTCACTTCATCCACCCATTCATGCCAAGATGGCTTCTACCCCAAAACTGCTACCAGTGTCTCAGATATACAGCTGCATGCGGCTACTTTATGGGTCTGTCTTTTTTCGGGGACCCTTCCAAAGTTGCGGGTTCCTTCTGGTTTCCCTTTAAAGCCACCACAAAAGGGGCACCGCCACCAAAAAAACAAAACAAACAACATACCCACACACCAATATAAGGTGTATGTACCAGTACCCGGTTTTAAGGGAGGTGGAACTCGATTGCAGGTGTGCAGACAGCAGGTCTCCGGGCTGGCCAGGCGGTGCCGCGAGACCCCCCTCGTTGTCTGGTTTGTAGGGACCCCGGAACTTTCCCCCCCCCCCCCCCGCCCCCCCGTTTGAAGGACACTGAATGGGTCAAGTCAGGGTCCCCTGTTCTATCCTGTTCTGCTTGTTTCAGGGTATTGGTTGTTTGGGTTTTCTTGGTTGCAAAATAGACTGCAGGTGTCCATGGCATGGCTTTGGTTTTCCTGTTGGTTTTCAATTGAAACCGCACAAATTGGGGGTACCCTCCAAAAAAGACACACCTCCACTCCCCGGTTGGGGAGTGAAAGCTTACGCTTTTCCAAGCTGCTCTGTTTGAACTGGGCTGTAATCTTTGGGAAGTCTCAAAAAGTTATCTAGCGCCTTCCTTGGCACAAACACCGTTTGATCTTTGTGAAGTCCTAGCCAGACTTTGCCGAAGGGCTTGTTTCCTTTCGTTGCGAGCCCAGTAACCAGCCCAGTGACGGGCTTCGGCTCCCCATTCAGGGTTCGATGTGCCACGCCAGCGGTTTTGGAGGACATGCGAAGTCACAGGGCCTGGAGTTCAAGCTCTCGATGGAGTTCCAAAAACCACAACTTGGAAGTGGACTTGGAAGGGGACATGGAAGTGGACATGGAGGGTCCCCCAAAGGAAAGTCGTCTTCCAAAACCCTCCGATCGTCTGCTTCCCTGATTGTTGGGGGGGGACGGTAATGCATTTCCAGGCCCATGGCAATGGGCTCTCCAACTGGGAGAGTCGGGACCCGGACGGCTAGCGATATGACTCATAGCCGTTGTATTTAATGTTGCCGTTTTGCTTGAACAATACGGTAGGCCACTAGTGGCTCCAAACAATCGAGCTCATATGTAGCCGTTTCGCGCGAGTAGAAAACCATCGACAATTAGTTTTCTATCGGAGTGGTCGAACGAGCGGGACGTTTGGGTGGACCCCACTTCAGGAACAATACCAGTCATTTCCTCAGTAACTGAGTGTGCAATCTGCGGACAATCAGTTTTCTGACCATAGTAGATAGCCATACTGGCGTGTAGCTTATCGTGGTGCCCAACTCAAACAGATTGGCGTTGTCCCCCCGCTGTCGCATCTTTCCGTCGGAGGCCGTGCTGCAGAGCGCGTGGAAAGAGCTTTGTGCGCAGGACGAAGTTGGTCCAAGAGAGGAGTTGAGCAAAGAAACCGCTTTTTTGGGGAGCAACCAATTACTTACAGGTACTTAGTAAGTACTTGGCAAGCACGGCTATAAGCCACTTTCGGAATTGACTTACAACATGGTCAGTGGGGTATCATCTACAATCATTCTGGTAGAAGCAAAAGTAGATGGGTTTTGGACGCTGCTCACTTGTTCGTTCTCGCGGAAAAAATATCGCTCAAGCCAGGCTTCAAAGCCTTTCTGAGGTCAACAATACTTGAAAGCCGGTCCAGAGGCGGAGCCATTTTACACGAAGCCAAGCTGCTTGTCTGCCCCAAGTTGCCCAGTTCAGCGCTTAGATGCGGGATTCGATGTGCGCCAAATTCCTTCAAACCGGCTGCCGGGGAACTGAAGGTTGTGGATGCCTCATCGTGCCAACTTCCCCTGGGCCGTCACCCAATGAACCTCCCGAGCGAGGCCCAAAAGGTGATAAAGCCAAGGGCCGCCCCCACCCCGCCCTTTTTGCGACAAGGGCACCATACTGTGGATGGACAAAATCCATTTCGCACCACCTCAGAAACCCAATGATAATGCCCCTGTAAATACCAAACAAGGGTGTCAACCATGGTTTCATTCCAAAGTGAGGAACTCCCATCCAACCGCAAGCATGCGGTCACAGGAGCTGGGTGTGGACTCGTCGCAGCTGCTGCTGGATGGCTTTACGCCAGGACGGAGGTTAGCCAATCGGAACCGCGAAGGCATCCTGTGGAAGGAAGGCTACCTGGAAGATCAGTTTCCTCTTGAAGGAACCCCCTGTGAGGTGCTATGTTGGGAGGAGGATAATATCAAAAGGATAGAATGGAGGTCCAACAACAGGTTTTGATTTGAAACATGGGTTTCCCTAGAAGGGGATGAGGTTGGAACGTGGGGCAACGAGCTCATCGGAAAGTAAAACGAGCTTATCCGTGAAGGGTCCGAAAAAAGGGGTCCCCAACAAGGAGAGAAGGCCTTTTTGACGCACTTGTCCTTGACTGATGCTGGGATAGCCTCCCCCCAAGAACGCCCTGGAGGCTCAAGGACGAATCATCGTTGGCAATGTAGCATTACTGTGGCTGCGGCCGGCTTCTGTCTGAACGCTCAGATTTACTTCTGGTGAATTTAGAGCCCACACCTTTGACTGAGTCTGCATTGGACTGTGTGTACAAGCCCCCAAACGCCTACGGAAGCCCAACGAAAGGTCCCCGGAGAAGAGATTTCACTCCAATGAACATTTTCTGGCTGGTTCCCGAAGGCCATCCGGCTCCTTAGGTGTTTAGCTTTTAGTTGGCTTAGTGGCTTCCGCTGATTTGATCCAGCTGGAGCTGGTAGAGGCCGCACTTTGCGTAGCTGCGCTTGCGCGAACAACAGCCCAGTTTTCGATCGGCAGAGTGGTGGGTCACCTCCATGGCACCATCTGCCTTGCGCCTTCTAATCAACATGGGCGTGGGGGTCCGTTCCGGGAAGCTGGTCCACAAACAGGCTCCAGTCGGTTTCCGGGCGTTTGCGCCGGTGATCTATCCTGTTCTCAGGGCGATCGGTAGCTCAGCCGCGGACGAACCACGGCCAAGGTGACTTCCTAGATATCCAAGTTGTTGCAAATGTCCAGAGGCTTTTCCCCAAAGACGATCAGAATTGCTGGGAAGAACAGACAGCAACTGGTGATTTGGGTTATGTCTTACTCTTGTTTGGGTGGGGAGACCAACAGGGAAGCTCGCCAATCGGATTTTCTGGTTCGAGCCAACTTCCGAGGAGTTGGCTCGAGCTGTGGCTCGCGGTGCTGGCGTCGCCCGGGGCTTAGCATTCATTTCCTCCAATGTCAACCTCAGATAAATACAGCCCTGGTTGATCGGGGGTGGGCGCTAGTGGGGAATACTCCCTGTTCATAGGAGGAGCAGTTTTGTAAATCTGGTGTTTCCATGAGAAGGCCTCGTTTGTTTGTTGCTGCACCCACGCTCAGATCATGGCAAGAATACGACTGTCTCAGTCTCCTCCAAAACTATTCCTGTTAGAAGCGAAATCGCCTCTTGGCCGCCGCAAGGCGTTTTCTACGACCTGGAGGTATCAAGTGCCAAGAATGAGCTGCGAGCCAGCAATGCGGACTACGAGTTCCTGTGCCTTGGGCACGCAGAGTTGAGGGTGCGTGGGGGACGCCCGGGTGCACTTTTGAGTTGCTTGTCAAATAAAACTTGGCAGGAAACCAACCACTTTACAGGCTGACAGTGGAACTTTTCAAATGAAACCTGACTGGAAAGCAACAATTTTAAAGGCTGACGGTGGAAGTTGGTTTTTCTCAGACCAGTTGGGGGGTTGACAAAAGGGCCGCGTATGACGTAGTGTGCACTCTGGATTTACGACCTCTATGGCGAATCTTCCTTTCTTGCGCGAGAGGTATCTGGCTCAGACATACAAGAGGTGTGACGGGGCTGGTAGAGCCGAGGGCGTGCCAGAGACATTGCTCTTAGAGTCCAGGTCCAAGACCTAGGGAGATTCTTCAGGGGTCAAGCAGTCAAACATACAAAGACCCACTTCCCGAGTTCCTGGACTTCATACTTTTCGGAACTGTCGGTAAACCGACCGTTCCGAGGATTTTTGGATGACCAATCCACTCCGGAAGTGAGCAGAAGGTGACGAGCGACGAACCGAAGCTGGGGCTCAGGCCCAGCCTCTATGGGGAGCCAGCGCTGGCGCCGGAGGGCGTGGACTTCGAGGGGCAAAGGCGGACGGGACAAAACCCACTGCGGGCCCATTGGCTGGTTCTACCTGGTCTGGCTGGTTCAACCCTAAAAGCCCTAAACCTAAACCCCAAGAAGCCTAAACCTGTCAACACGATCATACAGCATAGTAAGACCTTGTGGGCGACACGCATGTTTTGTGGATAAGTTCAGATAAACCTTTGCAAAGATGTTGGTAGAGCCGAAAACTCCATGGGTTTTGGGCGCTGCTCGAATGGGTATGTGTCGAACATTTGGCGATGTTTTTTTTCCAGCAGGGATCCGCCTCAAGAGTGGCTGGTGGCCACCTCAAGAGTTGTGATGCCCACCAAAGGGCGCGGGAGAAAAACAGTTCACACCCGAGTAGGGAGGCCCGAAAATGGGCTCGGTGTTCCCTTTGGTTCCAACCGAAAACGGGCACCGCGCCTCAAAAAAGGCACTGTGGGGCAATTACTTTTTCCTTTTTGTTGGACGACGTTCCCTTTGAAATGAAAGGCACTGTGGGGCAATTCCTTTTTCCGCTCGTGCTGGGGAGGGGGGTTGTCTTTGAATTCAGATTGTCAACCAAGAGTGCTCCTTTCTTCTCATGGCCGCTTGACTTCTGGGGGTATGTGGGTCCAAATGTGGAGCCCCCAAGGGTCCCGTTTTTCCACCTCAGAAGCCCCCGGATGTTTGCGCACCAACAATTAGTGGTCCTTTCCTTTCCTTTCCGGTTTAGTGAAATCGGATCATGGGAGCTTACCTGGGGGTTAAACGAGCTCATCCATGACGTCGACCTTTCTGGGGATTCCTTAGTTCAGATTGGTGAACCACAAATGTTTGCCAATACAACCACATGATTGCGCAACTATTGTAGATGTGAATTGTGGGTATCTGGGTATCTGCGCAAACATTGTAGATTTGATTTTTTGCGCAGATACAATGATGTTTAGCGAGGTTTTACTTCACCGTGCAAGAACCGTGTAGCCCATGGCATCCGATCTGGGGTTGTAGGCTTCCTGACAATCACTCTACATGGACACCCAAAAGGGGTCCCCCAAACTTGGTGGCTCGCAGCCATCCCCGTAGCTTTTGAGCCTTTTAGTGGTTGGATTTCCATTTAACCGACTAAAAGTTAGTCACTTTTAGCGGGGGATCTGAAAACGGGCAGCCCAGCAAAGACAATGGTTTTGCAAGTTCCACGTTCGTTTGGAGTGAACACCCAAGAAGCCGAAGACCAACAACCAACAACCGTGCTCTTGCGTTTTGCCGAAGAGACGGTGTTGAAGTATTATTTTTTGAATAGGAACTTGCGTGGGGTCTCCAAACTTATTTTTGATAAGCAGCATCTGCAGATATGATTTTCTGTGGGCCACTGGAACTTGCTTCCCGAAAGGCACGGTTTTTCCAGCTCCGTTCTCTGGGGTGTTCGAAATCAATCCTGGATTAGGAATCCCCCTGTTCAACTTTGAACAAGTCTTCCCAGCCCCTTGGACAGATGGCTATGGGTTTTATCAGGGAACCCCAAAAAGCTTCCTGGCCAGGGAAGAGCCCAGCAAACACAAGGTAGCCACCTTCACAAGCACGAAGCAATCCATTGAACGCGTTAGACTCTTAGACCCTGCCGACGTCCACTCAAATCGGGTTATGAACATTTGGATCAACCGCCACTAAAACATAAGGTAGCCCAAGACAGGGCTGCTGTGATACAACAGCAAGGGCTTCCCAAAGACAAACCCCCCATATAAAGGGGGAGATTCCCAAAAGTAGCACAGAAGTGGTTGGAGAAACCCCGAGCGATCCCACAACCCTGGTCCAAGATGCAGCGACTTCGGTTTTCGGTGGGCGACCTCGGTCAGGATCCTCCGCTGCCGCCTGCGCGCGCCCTTTTTGGGCCGCGACCGCTGCGTCCTGGCGCGGCACCCGCTGCCCAGCGCGCCCTGTGCCACCGCGCTGCCGAAAGCCGAGGCAGGGGCGTGCGATCGGAAGGCGCAGGGTGAGGCGTAGGTGTCCTTTTGATCGGTGAGTTTGGATAGACATAGATGGGTTCCACTGGTTTGGATTGGTTTTATCGCTATTTGCCCGGGAAACCCATCTAAGTTTGCCCAAAGGACACCTGGTATACCTGCTGGTCTAAGGGAGAACAAACGGCGGTTTGAACGATCGTGTCGTGCGTTTAAAGGGGCAAGGCACAGCCAGGAAATGGTTCACATTGGCGTTCCACCTTCCCGATCGGGGCATTGGCCTAGGCGGGTGGCGCTTTGGCCTGGCACGTGGCGTACCGCAAGGTCGCCTACTACGAGGTGCTTTCGCCGCGAAGATCTCGGCGTCGGGTGTCGATTTTTCGTTTTGGGGCATGGGTTGCCCCTTTTGGGCGGGTGGGCTTCGTGGGTGGCTTCTCCTCTTTTGGGGTTGTGTGGGTGGCGGCTTTTGGGGCGGGTTTCCCGTTTTTGCCTTATGCCATTTTTTTTAGCGGTGTACGTTGAAACCCAAGCCGTATGCCGACTAGGAGAGGGAGATCAGGCCATATCTATGATCAGCTGCAGGCCTTTCAATCTGCTAATGGACTTGGGTCGGGTTGGAGAAGGTTTGGGGACGTTTGGGCGGGCTGTTTGGCTGATGTTCGCAGCGGGTGCCATGATGGCTCCCACTTTGGTGCGCCACGTTGCTTTGCAGCCCCACAAGAGCCCATAGTTGGGGGGGGTGGAGGGCGGTGGATGTTTGCGTGCTAGTTTTAAACCACTTGCTCGGTGATTCCCCACATGACCCTACAAATTGATAATTTTAGGAGGGGGCCGAACAGAAGGAGATTCCTGATTCGATGAGTTCCATGTTGATCAGCGGGGCAATCAGAAGCAGAAGCTGGCGGATGTAGTCTGGGCGAGTCGTTCCTTGGATTTGAGGGCGTGCCAGCCGAAAGGAAACCAACCATTGGCGGCGCCTGCAGAATTTGTGCGCAGGAATGTTGAGAGGGTATTGTTGAGAGTAGTACCACCCAGGCCCCCGCTATCAACTGGTTCAAGTGACACAAGAGCTCATTTTGGGGTGTTTTGTTTCACGGCCATTGGGTCCTGGAAGGGCTTGCTGACAGGCGCAGGTGGCATAGCGACCGGCCCTTCCTGACCCTTCGCTCGCCAGTCACTTCACTCCAAACCGTTTCCGGAGCGAGGTGTCCATCGGCAAGCACCAGGGCCACCCGGAGCCGCTGCCCTGCGTGTCGGTGGGGCTGTGCAGCCCCCGCTTCTCCCGCTACGCGGTGGCCAGGCGGGAGTTTCCGTTTGGGTCAGAACTGTTGAGACGACTGTGAGGCTCCCCGTGTACCATCCCTACAGACAAATGGTGGATCGCCTCAAAAAGAATCCCTGGCTGCAGGGAGTTGAGCTGCATGTAGTAGATAGTATTGTGTTAGTATACGTTTGCCAATGTTTATAAAAATCATGCAGCCATCAAAAGTTGGGGATTGAAGTTTTAGGTGTTTCCAGGCTGTCCGGTTTTGGATTGGGAAGACAGGCACCCTGCTACTTGCTGGGCTCAATGACCGCGACAAACGCCCATTTGGTGTCCGTTTTAGGGGATCCCCTTCTGGTTCATTCCCAAACCTCGAAATTGGCCAACTCAGGACCAGCAAGTCAAGTTGCAGGTGCAAAGCCGATGTGGTTCCAGTCCATGGTCTGTTTTTGGATAGGTTTTGACTGGTACCTGGCTTCCAAAGGCCCGGTTTTTCCAATCCCGTTCTTCAGTGGGGTGTTTGAAATCAACCCCATAGGATTAGAAATCCCCTGAACTTTGAACAACCCATTTCCCCAGCCCATCTTGGACACAAGGTAGTCCGGCCACCAAGCAATCAAGCACGAAGCAATCAAGCAATCCATAGAATGTGTTGGGGTAGGAACATTGGATCAACCACCACTAAAATGGTCCTCCAAGAGGAGGCTGCTTTTAGCTTCTAATGCAGGCTCCAGAGAACATGCATTGAAACAAGGCGCAAACATTTGTGAGAGGAGTACTCTGCGCGAAGCCGGGGCGAGCCCCCTTTGGAGCCCCCGAATATCAAACTTCTTGATTGGGTTGTTTCGGGGTCACGTTTCCCCTTTCTGCATAATTTTTGCTGTTGGTGACATTGAGACCACAAATGCCCACACAGACTGTCCAAGTTTCCCATGTGCTTCTTAGGAAGCAAGTAATTTTCAGAGCGAATCTGCCTGATTGAGGACGTGGATGTCAACCCAAATCAATCGGGCTCCAACTCCTCATCCTCTGACCCATTGGGCCACTTGTGTTCGGACCAGGGAGCCATTTTTTGACCCATGGGACTTTAAGAAAAATGACACATCAACCTTTTGGTTTTGTCTCAAAATGGCGGAGCCCACCGAAATAGGTGGGTTCGTTTTGCCTTTTTGTGCGGTGTTGCTTCAGAAACAACCTCGTACAGTGGCTCGGATCCACTTTTGGGCGTTGCCCGTGGTTTAAAGTTTACCTTTGACACAACCCCAAAAGGGGGCATCACTCATTCAACTGCCAGGCAGTTTCCCTTTGAAATAACCCCCAAGAAAGTTAAAGGCATCAACTCAAGAACTCCCTTTTGTTTCCCTTAATTAAGGACGTTCTTTAATCGTCTTTTTTTGCAGGTTTACCCAGGAATCCCCCCCCCCCCTCCCCGTCTCCTCCCCGGTCTCCTGCCCGTCTCCTCGGGGAGCGTGGGGGGGTCCCAAGTCAGGCAGCAGGTGGGCTGGGACTGCGAGTCCTGGGCGCTGCACAGCGCCTCGCCGCGGCTTCCTTCGCGTTTGTCGCGCTTTTCTCGTCGTCGCTTCGCTGTCATTTGTTGTTTTTGTTTCTTCTTTTTTTCTTCTTCCCCCGTTTTGTTTTTTTGAAAGGATGGGTTTGGCAGACCAAATAGGTGGCGATTCCTGGCTTACCTGGCGGTTTATTCATCTACCAGGGCCTATTTCCTCTAAACGGACACCTAGCGCCGTTTTGCACCTGGAAGGATGGAAGGATGGGGAGCTGTGTTGGTTGGCTCCTGAAAGGGAAAGAAGGACGCTGTTGCCGTTTTGGAGGTTCCCTGATTTTGTCTCCAAACTCCTTCCATTTGCAAGGAATCTTAATCTTTGTTATTTACCCTATTGCTTGTAAGGAGAATGGGAATCTGTCACTGGGAATATGTTCATTTTTGTTTTTTCCTCCAGGGGGCGTAAAAGCAAATGGAAGCTTTTCAACTACACACTCCCTGTGTTCTTGGGCTTTATTCACTTTTTGGAAAGACCATTTTAGTGGCAAGTAAAAAGTTTAGACTTTTGACCACTCAAGAAGCGAGACAATTCAACTTTGTTTGCTCTTGGTCCAGTCTTGGTCCAGTCTTCGCTGTGTTGCCTTCTTCACGCTGGCTTAGTCCGGTCTTGGCCATGTCAACATGTTTGCTTTTGAACCAACATTGCTTTGAACCAAGACTGGACACTAAGAGTTGCAAGTTTTATTAAGAATGAGGGAATTAAGGGTTTCAACCAGTCTTTGGTTTTCCTTCATTCTTGCTTTGAACCAAGACGTTTGCGCAAACCGCTTAACTCTGGCCACAATGCTCCGTATACGGTTTTTCTTTATGTCGGGAGGGTAACGATCGATCGGGATCTCCGCCACGTCTTTGTTTTAGGCTCGACGAAATAGGAGAGGCAGAAGCCGAGAATCGGACTTTCCGTGGCCAAGATGCAGAGATCTCATTAAAAAAAGAACGTTGCTTAAGTTGAACGGGAGCTTTATTTGCGATGCGGTGCAGGCCCAGCCTCTCTTTTCTGTGCCCGCCTCGGTTGGTTTCCCCCAACCAGGTCCTTCAGCTGGGGTAATTTTCAAGGAAAGCCAGTTGCTTTAATAGGGGGGGTTTATTAATCCTGGGTCAGCATTAAGACGCATGCCTGCTTTGCTGATGTGGCCAAGCTGTGAATGGAACATAAATTTATCCAATCACATTTGCCTTTTTTGTTTTGGCACGGCAGCGATAGATCATCAGATGGGCATCGTTCTCGCTGCTCACAGATTGTATGTGTATTTATATATACACCACATCTAAGCATCTATGCATATATCCATGTACATATACATTGCGCCGCGTATTGCTAAATTGCATTACGTCGCACTGATTGACAACCTTACATATTGCCTATCACAGATTGAATACCACATATCACATATGACATACTGCATATTTGAAAATGCATGTTACATATTGTAGATACCGCTTTACATACTCCACATGACATATATAATGTTACAAGTCACATATTGCACATTAACAAGCCCGGTGTACAATGCACCATATCCCATATTACGCAAAACATAGTGTAAACATCAGCACATCGCAAAACATCACACATCCATCCACCCGTGCCATGCTTAGGCGACGACGGGCAGCTCTTCCACGGCTCGGAGCGGGGCTTCGGCTTCGGCTTCGGTTTTGCTTCGCCGCCGTGGGCGACCTTCGGCCCCGGGGATGTGGTGGGCTGCGGGGTAGCGCACGGAGCTGCCGAAGGCCGGGCGGACAAATCGCGAGATGTCTCGAAACGCTTGGCGTTGGAAGCATAGATGGGTCCTTTTTTGGTTTTGGTTGGACATAGATGGGTTCCACTGGTTTAGATGCCATTGTGCCTTGTCCCAGGGATGGCAGCTATTCTGCTAGCTCCCAGACCTCCAAAACAGGGAGGTGCGCAGGGAGGTCAGCTTGCACCCTGTCTCTATCGACCCCGAACAAAGTCACCGCGGATGGCCCGGCATGACAAATTTGAACTGGAAGGCATCAAATTTCCTCAGCCAGCATGGAGACACAGGGAGGTTTGATCATGACAGTGCCCAGTCTCTACCTGGTGTTGAACCTCGAGAAAACTTGGCCGAATCGCCTGCTCATTTCATGGCAAGGAACACACACACCGAGTTCGCGAAGTGGCAAGTAGTGCTCCAGTGAACCACCTGTAAACCCCTAGTTTACTCAAGTCCCTCAGTTTACCAGTCTAGGAGTCTAGCCCCGAGTAATTTCTTGAGCCCGTCACTGACAACTTAGCTACCCAGCTACCCCCAGACCATCCAAGCAAGCTGAGGCCAGATTCTGCATTTGTGTGTGTGTTTTAAAGTAGACAACGACGCACCTTCCATGTATCACGTGTCACTCAGGAATCTTCCAGAGACTTGACAGGTTGCGTGAGCAAGTGTTGCAGGTGCGGAGGACGTGGCCAAATCTCCGCGGAAGATCTTCTACACTTTGAACGGCGCCTTCCTAGGCAAGTGTTCGATCGTACGCCTCGATGTGTTGGAGCTTGCTTGCGTCCGGACCAAGGATCTTTGGAGACCCCTCACAAATGTTGCACGCTTTTTTGGGGTCCGTTTTTTTTAGCCCGGTAAGGAAACCCAAAGGAAAACACATTTTCTTGGGATCCTTTGGACGAACCAATTTGAGCTTGTCTGGAGTTCATAGGCACAGGCCGCCCCTCGGAAAAGTGCGCCTTCTAAATCTGAGAGGGAGATCAGCATTTGCTTCCCCGGGACGATGCAGGATAGAAAGGTGCAGCACTGTTGCTCGTATAAAGACTATTGACCTATTCGTGGCTTGTTGCTTCGAACGGCTTGCCAAGCTGGGTGTCTCCTAAAGCCGAAGACCCTACAAGTAATTTGTCTCCAAATGGCGCGCCCCCCAAATGGCTAGCTTCCCTTTGGCTTGTTTTCAAAGCAGCCCCAAGCCCTATTCTCATCAAACAGCTTAAGCCCTTGTTGACAAACATATCAGGTATCCTGCCCCAGATCCCGACAGCCTTAACCATAAGCCAAGGTACGGAACTGGAGAGCCGAATAAGAGGCTTGGGGGTAGCTAGGAAGGTACCAGTGCATTTCCGTGGGGCCGAGCTCTCGCACTTCCACGGGACTTCCCTCGCCTTTTCGAGAGCTGGTTCAACACACGCGGGTTGAAGATGTCAAAGGTTTCCTTAATTTCCCTTTACTGGCTGGACCCAATTGGTAAGTGGTTAGGGTTGTTGCCATGGTTGCCAACGCCGACCCTTGAAGTAGGGTTGTTGCTTTGGTTTTCCTTTGCCAGGACCCCCAAATGGACCCCCTTTCTTTCTGCCTTTGACCCAGAAGGCAGTAAGTCACAAACGACCGGAGGTCCAGGGTTTGTGGAGTAATTCTGCTAGGCTATGCCTTCGACGTAGAGGACCTGCCCTGGGACGTGCCTTTGTGGCCTTGTGTGCCTCGGAGAGCACAAACGAAGGGACGGTCCGAGCCAGAAATGGGTGCGGCCGCTTTGGATTCTTTACATGGTTTTGTCTAGAACTTTTCAACACCAGATTTGTCTGATAGTCTTATGCTAAATTAGTTTGATAAGTTGAATTGTTGCCTTGGTTTTCCTTTCAAGCGAGTGGTGAGGGCCTTTTCATGGGGATTTTCCGGCACTCAGGAGGTACTCTAAAGGCTCTAAGAGGCTTTCGAAAGACGGGCACCTTGGCGCTTCTCAGCCGTACCTGTATTCTTCTAGACTTGTTGCGTTTAGATGGATTTACAGCACACCCCATTACAGTTCAAAGTTGCAGCAAGGAATCAACGAACCACGCAGCACTCATTCATCTTCCGTGAAGATGAACCACAACGGTGCGCACGACAAAGGTTCCTAAAGCATGAACGGTGTTTGCATCCGACTCGCCCCCTCATGTTTCGTTCAAGCTTCCAAAGGTCATGTGTTTGCTCACCGCAGGGGCCAAACAGACAAATTAGAGGCAGAAAGCCGCCTAGGGTTTGGATTGCAAAGAGCCACACGCGTTCCGCGTTCATTTGTGCGAATGTGAGACCATCACCTTGCTAATTCCTCCAAGTCAGTCAGTTCACCATGGACCATGGGTATCCACTGATACTCCTGACGTACCCTCCAAACCCCCAACCGCCAAAACGCATCCGCCAACATCCCCCCACCCCAAAACCCGGCAAACCCACCACCCCCTTCAAGGAGGTTTCACTCCAAGGGGATACTTGTTTTTCTCCAACCGCGACCCCTTCAAAACGGCACGCGGCAAGCGCGGCACCTTTCAAAGCGTCCGAGGTGGGTCTGGACACGCGGCAGTTGCCGGGGCACCTAGCGGTTCTTGAGCGTTGCTCGGTCTCCGGCATGCCGTTGACATTTTGTGTAGGTGAATGATTTGGGTGCCTTGGTTTTTTGGGAACCGCCTTTTGGTTGGTTGTACGGGAAACAGAAACCAACCATGTTCGGGAGTCCTCTCAAAAAGACACCCGTTTGAACCCGACCTAAGATCAAGTTGCGACTTGCGCTTCTTCCGGGTCCCCTAAGGGGTTCCTCGGCTGCGCGAGCGGGCTCAGGGTCCTTGAAACTCGCTTCCGGGACTTGACACGTCAAAACTGGACCCGCAACGATTGCGGGGTGTTCTTGCTGGCGTCCCAACAAAACAGACACCCCAAAAGGGAACCCTTGACAAAGACATAAGTCGCACTTCATGGGCGTGTCGTTTGTCCCTTGTGGCGGTAGTGGGAAGCGAAAGGACACTCCATTTTGGCGGTTCCTTATCCAAGTTCGCGGCCTTTCGACGTAAGGGGAAGGATGGAAGCTGCTGGATTCATCCGGGGCAGACTTCTGCCCGGCCAAGAGGAATTTAGGGGCTTCAGATGGTTTCAAACATCGGCTGAATCTTCTTTTGGCGGGGTGCTGTTCAAAGATCAAACACTGGCCCGGTGAATCAACGAGAATCATGCCAGCACCCTCAAGGGCCATCAAATGCTTTGCCAAGTGGCCGCCTGCCATTTCATAGCAAGTGGGGTGGCAAATTCCGTTGGGCCCGCTTGGAATGTCGGGGCTGTTGCACATAGCGAACCACTCCTCCGGTTTCGCCGCTTCGCCAAGTGGGCCAAAACAAATCGACGAGTTGAAAACCGAGGCTCTCCTTCAACTTTGGCGGCGAGCCCTTTGCGTTCGATCTGGACAGCATCTCTGAGTTGCAGGCCTTGGTTACAAGTTGACCTTGTGCAGGTTACAGGAAGCCATCATGTACACCCTAGAGGTAAGAACCCTGTTTGCCTATAGTGACTAAGTGGAAGCCCTGGCTTCAACTGCAGACTTGATAGAAATGGCTCACAGAAAGCCCGCCCAGTGGATCAAGCTCGCAAGGGCCTTCAATCGTCCCTTTCAAAAGCAGAGGTTCATGTACAAATCATCAATCAGAGATCAGACGCCACTCAGAGTCCTGTGAGTCCTGTGAGATCAGACGCTTTCAGAGTCCCGCATCGTAAGGTGCTTCTGATGTGCTCGAACTGCGAGTGCTGCAATTACTGCTCCTCCGCGAATTGACATGGAATCCCTACTTTCCCACCAACTAACATATATGGAAGTGCACAAGACCGCTTTCCAAGAGGAAAGTAGTCTTTCTACAGGGGTCTGTGCACAAACCCATGTTAGCTGGTGGGAGGGTAACGAGGGGGCTCCCAACGGAGATCCTTCTCAAAGCGACGTTCTCGTTGAGTTCCATGAACACGATGGGGAGATGTTTGAGCCTTTATGGCAGGTCCTTTTGCCTTCCAATCATTAAAGCCATGCTCTTGAGGCATGCAGTCCACTTCCATGCGGGAAGGGCATGTCCATGTGCCATTGCTGCTTTTTCGGCTTGGTTTTGGTTTTTTGGTTTTTGTTTTCCGTGTCGCAAGAACGGGTGGGAAGTTGACGGCATGGGCTTGTAGTCCAAATTGGGGCCGGGGAGCCCTCGCACTAAGACTGGGGTCATTCTTTTGACTGTTAGGGTTAAATATATCAAAGTCAGACAGGGTTGTGTTCCCAACCACTTAGTTATCTCTGACAACAAACAAGGGGGCCAGGAAGAACATGCTATATTCCAGTTCTCCTATGACACACCGAGAAGATGGAGCTGGGGCTCCAAATCCCCTTCATGACAAAAAAACAACAACAACAAACAAACTCAGATTCCATGCTCTACTTTTTTTACGATGCATGGAACTGAAGTTCCATTTTCCTCCGGGAAAACCCGGTATGTCAAAAAGAGAAGCTGATGGGGGGATTCACATGTGCTGATCGGGCATGCTCTTGCGGGTTGTCTTAGCACCAAAGTTGCTAACCGGTTCATCGGGCAGGACATCGAAGCAAGGAGTTTTCTCACGACACATGTGATGTCGCAGGTTGTCTTGGAGAGCAAATTCCAGACGGTCTCGGCTGCGGTGCCCAGAGATTGGGGGGTGGGTGCTTGGTTTTGTCGGGTCGGGACCGCCTTTTTTAGACCTAAAAAAGACCCCTTCAGGCGACCTCGGTTGGACATGCGCCGAAATTTTCTCCCAGAACTGAGAGGCGTGCCGGGGGGGGGGGGGGGGGGGCAATTTTCAATCAAAGTGTCCCTAGAGGGCAAACCAACTCGCAAAGTTTGCACGTTTCTTTTGCAGCGACTTTCTGCAGAGGGCATCTCGCAAGGGTAAACCCTAGTGCATCGGAAGACTAATGACAAGAGTGATGTGAGCCCTTGTCAAATTCACGGCTGCAGTCTTCACTCGAGCTTGCTGAGGATTATTCTGCCGTGCCGCGCTCAGCGTTGAGTGAGCCGTCTTCAACGTGACCACATCCTTGCCACGGTGGATCAGTGGCCGCCTATATCGCTTTTTGTTTGGCGGATTCCCACTACAAGTGTTCAACCCCAAACAGCGCCCTTTTTCCGCCAACTGCGCATAGTGTTCACTTCAGGCATGGTTGGGCCATGGTAGGTAACACGCTCGGGGAATTCGACATTGATGCAGGCCCCGTTAATGAACTGTCGGCATCTACCTTGCTCACCGGCCGCTTTGATCACCACCCTGAATATATGTTTGTTTTAAGCCAATGCAACAAGCGGGGCAAATCGTCGAACAAACAAGGCTTGAGCGGGAAAGAGAAAGTTTGGCCTTGTTTTGCGGGACCCCGACGATTTCGACGTTCGGTATCAATTTGGCAGTTTTCTTCAACTGTGATGTTTTTGGTTACCAGTTGAGGGGCTAAATACTATTCAAAGTGATCTTGAGGTTTGATCAATTTAATCGCCATGAATATTGGCATCACGTTGCAAATCGAATATAGAGAGATGACAAATTGATGCTTGGGCATAGACAGAAGGATAGGGTTCTTTTGTCCTCATCATCCAAGACGAACGGCAAGAGGCACGAACGGGCGCTGGGTGAAAGGCTGTCTGATCACAGGGGTTTAGAACATATCTGTAGATTTCCGTAGATTTCCTCTAGACAGGTGTTTCTCAAAATTAGAGTTCCTTGGTTAAACTGGTTTTCCTGTTGGTTTTCCAAGAACCCACCAACTTCAGGTGCACCGTTTGCAGAGAAATGGGAGCCCTGGATTACTTTGGCCTCACTCGCAAGGGAGTTGCTGTGTGGTTCTTTCTCTTTTTTGCAACTTTGGGGGGGTGGTGTTGAAATGGTTTTCCGGGTCCAAGAAGCCAACAGCTTTGGGGCGGAAGGCCGACCCGGTTAAGCTCAAACAAGACAGGGCGGTGCCTTCAGTCCACGGAACAACTCGCTTCAGGCTTCTTTCCTGGGCGTAGGGAAGCCAACAGCCATTGGATACTGTGGAAATCGAAGTCTGCTCGTACGAAACGAAGTCACGTTTGAAACAAGAACGTTTGTTGGGATTTACCGGGGAATCGTCAGAAACCAGGGTTTCTGAGGTGGTGCGAACGGATCTGGTCCATCCATAGTATCACTAGCAAGTGCACCCGCTTGAGGGTTCTACCGCAAATGAAGGGGCTCCCTTGATTTCAACAGGGGCAAAGGCCAAAGGGCAACCCCTCGAGCATTGTTTCCCGTTGGTTTAGCGAAGAAAAAAGGTGCATTGCATGTGTGTGTGTGTTTATCCATTGAAGTTCCTCCCACCTCTCAATTAATTCCTCGCGGAAGAGGCCGCGCCGACCTTTAAAAAAATAAAAAATAAAACATCTGATGGCTTTTTCGAGGAAAGTACTGTTCTCTTGAAGTGTGTTCACCAGTTGGTTTGACAGGAAGCATGCGGTATGTTTGTCAATGTTGACTTCGGAGTCATCCGAAGGATCTACTAATTACAGGAATGCCCTGAAATGTATTACGCTTCCTCGCGAGTTAGCTTTCCTTGGAGCCAAGGTCCGTTTTGCCCGCGGATTTTGCTCTTTTGTCGCCCAGGCCGAAGTTCGAGACGCGGCGGAAGGCGGGCTAGGGGGGGGGGGAGGGAGGGGCAGAGTGGGGGGAAATGGGTGGCTTACATTGGGGTTGAGTGGTGGGTTGTTTGAGTTCACATGGCGAAATCATCATTTTTGCGAATAAATCAAAGGTGCTGCGTGATTCCCCCGTTTTCCTTGTCAAGGGATTCCATCTACCATCCCATGGCTTCACACGAAACCTTTTTGTTCCAAAGGGAGTGTGTGCATGAAGGGTCAAAGTGGCAAACTGCCCAGCTACTTTCCACGTGAGCCCATCCTTTCTGCAAAAGGTTGAAGCTGAGTGAACCTTCAGCTGGCTGCTAGGAACTCTGGAGATTTCAGGTTGTGTGGGTTTTGGCTATGACCCTGAGAGCCTTAAGGGCGTACCTATCATTTCTGGTACCTGGGACATCTCGGCCTTGTTTTCACGGAGGGAGCAAGCTATGGACATGTCTCATGCGATTCCCATTTGGTGGATGGCTCCACCCTCGGTGTTGCCGCTTGCCTTCTTCCATTTTTATTTTTTTAAATGTTTTACTTTGCCCTGTTGGTTTTAAAGGGAATCTATCACTATTGGAAATATCTAAAAAGCAAAAAACAACAAGGGGGCTTCTCAGCAAATGGAAGCCTTTGGTTGGTGCAAGTTGAAGCCACCACAAAACAGACACTCTGACAGGATCCAAGTATGCAACCTGTGCGGCTCCGCCTCCATGACCGGAAGGGCAGAGCAAACCAACTGGCAATCACACACACAAGCCAATTAACGTAGGCTTCTAACATGGGTTACAGGTTCAACAGCCCCGTTGGAGGCTTCGCAATTGCGCCATAGACCTAACACATCCCTGACAGCTGGTTCTTTTTTCAGGTTGGTGTTCTTGGGGTCAAGAGGATTTCTACAATTTTGGAAGGTTACATAATTTGGACATGAGTCTTAACGCATGATTTGCCCAGGCTGAACACAAATCTCAACGATGATGTACCAATAAACTCCATACTTGAGAGGGCCGGGTATGCCAAGTTCAAAGACTTCTACCACTTACTCCCCAGACCAAACTCCAAAGAGGAAGTATGACAGGTGAGCCTCATTTAGCGCTTTACTCTGATTTGCCCTGATGTTTGGCTTATCCTTGTAAAGATATGTTCCAGACATCTGGGTGGTACAACCCTTGACACGTAGGTGCAGAGTAGCCCACCGAGACGCACCAATCTCAGTTGGAGCTTGGCTCCGGAAGCCATGCATCCGGAGCCATGGGCAAAGCCGTCGCCGTGGACTTGGGCAAGGCCCGTCGCAAGGCGGGGCGCGGGGCGGGGTCGGGCGCGATCTCGGAGGTTCCATGGATTTTTCTCACCACGCTCATCCCACCATTGGTCGCGTGAGTTTGGGCCGTCCCACTGATGTGGCACCTGCGGGACACCTGGAAGATTCCTTTTGGAGCAACCCGTCAAGGTGCCAAGTTAGTGGGAGAGAGAGAGGGCAGACTTAATATGAAGCGCTGAATCTCAGCATAGTATTCTTGATCCGCAGAGTTGGGCCCAGATCGGGCGTGGGAAGACCCCCGGCTTCAGTGGGGAACATGTTCGTTCCGCAGAGTTGGGAGGTCGGATCAGGTGCGGGAAGAAGTGCAAAAGGAGGAATCAATGCACCGATGCTGGGCCATTGACAAACCTGATCGATCTGGGGTGCGGGGACCCCCTTTCAATGGGGCATGAATGCATTTTGGGAGCAGTCCTCTCTCATGGTATGGTGCGGAGTCCCTTGCAGGAAGGAAGCTCTGTAAATAGACCAGGCTGAACACCAGCTACCAGCATCATCTGGGAGTCCACAAGCAGATGGGTTAGTCACCAAATCGGACGTTGTGTTGCACTGGCGAGCAGATATGCCTGGTAAGTTGAGCTGACGTCAATCAATCGTCGGCTTGCACGGATTGTTTCACTTTCGTCACTGTCCCTGTCCGTTGCATTTTGTTTTTGCCAAAACCGGTCTGGCATTTCTTTTCCGATTCCCAGACTAGCGGATGCCTTTTTTCAGTGGTGATGCCTTTTCCTGCGAGCCATGTGGGTTGGGAGGGGCACTTGTTGCGTTCTAAATAAAATCAGCTGGAACCCCATCACATTTCTTTGTGGGGTCCCCTATTCTTCAGACTCTGAGATGGTTTCCACTGCCCCCAAACGACTATCCTCCAGGGAAAAATCAAGGTTTATACCCTTCAGTGGTTGAAAAGTGTTTTCTTTTTTCCCCTTGACCATTTATTCCCTTGAGTGGTGAAAAAGTTCGGCTTTTCATGTTTCCCTTGACCATTTGGGGGAGACATTTCTCGAACACTCCGAGAAAATTTATTTCCCTTTGGCCTCGCGGATCGAAGGATCGGAGCAAAACAAAAAAATCACCGAGGCCTCGCTACACCTCGCGAGCCGCAGTTCGCGCCCAGGCGTGGGGACATGGGTACACTTCGGAGCCCCGGAGGAAGGGTGGCTTTTGGGGTGGAGTGCAAAGCTGTCAACTTGACTTAAGTCAGAGGAAAATACAAAATGATTTAGCCCCTCATATTACAGCAACCTGTGAACCAGCTTAATCAAGTCATCGAAGAAAAACACAATGATTTAGCCCCTCATATTGCAGGAGCAATTGTGGAAACTGGCGATGGAGGGTTTTGGAAGACGACCTTCTTTTGGAGAAGCCACAACACTTCGAGAGAGTGGCCACTTCGACCATCCCAGCTGGCAAGTGGATAGTAATCCCCAAGGATGTACCCGATACCCAACCAACCTTGGCCTGCGAGGATTTGGATCGAATATGTCCTCGCCTCATAGAATGAGCTATGGTCCCTTCACCTGGGATATGTCAGGTTTGGATTTCCGAATTTGCAGATCTCAACAGATGTCAGAAGCCCCTTTTGAGCTTTTGTAGATGTTGGCGCTTGTTAAATGTTGACAAATGTTAACAGATGTCAAGTGTTTGGTCCCTTTTAAGCTAACTGTTTTAAAGCATTTGTTAACTGTTTTGTTAACTGCTTCGTCCCTTTTGAGCTGTGGCAAATATTTTCCAGTTGCCAAACGGTGGGAACTGTTCCTCGTCGCGAGTCGCTCAGGCCGCGCGCCGGGCGCAAGGCAGGGGTCCAAGGGGCCCGGAGATTGCACCCCTGGGTTCAAGGCTGTTTTGGAGTAGCAAACAGATGGAAACCAAGGGGGTTATAAGACATAACATATGCAAGGGGGCAGACATATGCAAACCAGCTTGGTAGCTTAGGGTTATGTCTTAAGGGGCCATGACCCGCAGAGGAGCAACAAAAAGCAGAAGCCGGGATTTGGGGAGCGCGTGAGCTTGCATTCTGGCACAAGCCCACGCCCACTCACAGCCGGCAAGCACCATGGGAGTAAACGACTCGCTGGGGGTGTTGTGGGGCAGATGCTTTCTATGCGAGTTGAAAGACTTGTATGCTCAACCCACTGAGCAAGTAGGATATGACAATATTTATGGATCAACCATCTGTTGTCCCACAGAAAGCTATGGGTATGATCTAAGATACCTACCCTTTTGAACAACGAATTGGGGGTGGGGAGGTGACCCCCGGAATTCACTCGAGCGGAACTGAAAATCCGAGCAGGCTCCTTTCACAGCGAGATGCTGGCAGCTCTCCGCAAGCACCGGCCCATGCTGCCGCGGAACAAGCGGAAGGCGTGCTCTGAATTGACCCCTCCAGATGTGAGTTTCTCGAAACGGTGGACCTTTTGAAAGAAAACCTATGGACCCCAACCAGTTTGTGGGGGACGCCTATTTTGAGAAGCCCCCTAAATGAGCTGTCAAATGAGATTAGGACCGCCAAAATGGCAGGTCTGTTTTTTGGAAACTGGGAGTTCTCGCGTGCAGTCTGGGGGGGTCAGCATTGCCAATTCTATTTCAGTATTGCTTGCACAGTTTTTGCTTGTGGAGCGGCACAACTTTCTATCACAGCGAACCCCAATACAGTGACATGATTCTGAATTAGGAGAAACAGTTTCCATAATAGCGACCCCACTTGTTAAACGGGGTCAACTTCTCTAAGTGGGCTTCTGGCTACGTATGTGCTTTTGGAGGGGGCCACACACCGATTTCGGGGTTGCCATATTCAAATGAGCTCACATGACAGGCTTAACTACTTGCTCAGCGAATCCATGCGGGGTTTGTGCCCCTTGAAGTCGGGAATTCTTGGTAAATGTTCTCCCTTGACCAATGCTTGATTGGGTCAACCAGCGAACCCGCCAACCAGCCAACAGGCAGCCAAACCGACCAACCAACCAGCCAACCAACCAATTAATCAAGCAAGGACGCAAGCAAACAAGCAAACAAGCCAGCAAGCCAGCAAGCCAGCAAGCCAGCAAGCCAGCAAGCCAGCAAGCCAGCAAGCCAGCAAGCCAGCAAGCCAGCAAGCTCGAAGTAACAAGGCAGGCAGGCAGGCAGGCAGGCAATCAACCAACCCAACCAACCAACCAACCAACCAACCAACCAACCAACCAACCAAATGTTTGAGCCGCATGCAGGTGGCTGAGGAGAGTCCCGGCTCGGGCATATGCCGGGGATGCACCTTGGGCCTCACCACGGACTACAAATTCGGAGGTGGAGGCTGGAAGTTGACAGGAACCCATAGGGAACGCGTAGGGACCCTGTGTGGGGTCTCCTGCGCAGGTATTTTACATTTTGGGTAGACTAAATATGAAGCAGATTCAATCATATGAATTTTAAGGCTTACTTAGCCCAGAGTTGGGCCGAGTGGATGTCCCTTTCCTTCTTTGTCTTTTTTTTCTCCAAGTGTCAAGTGTGCCACCTTCAATGGGGATCTGATCAACGGCTCATCTTGACGAGCTAGTGGGAAGGCTGACAAATTATAGCCTCAAGGGGAATTGCGACACTTGGCGGGTTGGCAAATCATAGTTCCATCCGAATATCTTTTTTGGCCATAGTCTGTTCGTTTCTCAACAGAAGGGTGGGAGAGGAGAATGAGGAATCAACCCCTGAAAATGTAGGCGACTG